AGAGAACATGAGGAAAACCTGGAGGGAGCTGGGGACAAAAAGGGACACAGAACACGACAGCACCAGTCATGAATGTGGAAGTTTATTTTTTTATTTTATTTTTATTTTTATTTTTTCAAATGTCTTCACACCAGTTATTCTAAACCTCTCAGTGCTCTCCTTTATCATTGATATAGCTTACCTCTGTAAACTTCCACCACGGATTAATTTCTCATTTCCTGACAAAATATCGTCCCCCCATTGGGCAGATAGATGCACAGCAGCACTGAAACATGTACCAAGTATTTGAAATCTTTTCAACTGATTAAGGTGTACTATATATATATATATATATATATATATATATATATATATATATATACATTATACTGTTCAGTCCAAACAAAAGTCACCACCAAAGGTCACTTCAAAGGTCATTTCATTGGACCACCTTTAGCTTTGGCTATGGTACACATTTGCCATGGCATTGTTTCGATAATCTTCTACAATGTCATTAATGTTTCACCAAGATCTTGACCTTGCATTGATGATGGTAGATTCTGACTGCTGCACAAAGCCTTCTCCAGCACACCCCAAAAACAATCAATAGGGTTAAGGTCTGGACTCTGTGGGGACCAATCCATGTGTGAAGATGATGTCTCATGCTCCTTGAACCACTCTTTCACTATTTGAGCCCAATGAATCCTGGCATTGTCATCTTGGAAGATGTCTGTGTTTCATCAGGGAAGGTGGAACAACCTGGTCATTCAGTATATTCAGGTAGTCCGACCTCATTCTTGGAGCACATCCTGTTGGTGAACCTAGACCTGACCACCTGCAGTAACCCCAGATCATAACAATGCCCCTACAAGCTTGTACAGTAGACACTAGGCATGATGGGTGCATCACTTCATCTGCCTCTCTTCTTACCCTGATGCTTCCATCACCCTGGAACAGGGCCCATCTGGACTCATCAGACCAGTTTTTAATAATTTGGACAGTTCTTAAGCCAGTTTTAGTCTTTTCTGAAATCTCCTTAGATGTTTTCTCTGCTTGATGCATGCCAATGATCTGACCCTTCTCAGACAGACTAACATCTTTTCCACGACCAGATGTGTCGTTCTACATGATTGTTTAAGAAATGAGAAGCAGCTTACTAACTGGAGTTAACCCCTTAGCATTCCAGCCCCCCGTCCATGGGACAAAACCCCATTGCATTCCTTAAACCTGGAAATTTAAGGGGTTAAATAACTTGCTACCAGCTGAAAGATAATGCAGTAATTATCCAATAGGAGGCTCCTACCTGTTTGCTTATTTAAATACAGGTGGCAACTTTTTTTTGGCCGGGCAGTGAAGTACATATATATATATATATATATATATATATATATATATATATATATATATATATATATATATATATATATATGACATATCTATAAATGTGTAGAATGATGGTAATAATTTGTGTATGTGCATACAATTTGCATGTTAGAGAGAGTGTTTGGGTTTATTTTCATATGATTTTGCATGTAAGTGTTTGTTGGAAAAAAGATTTGATATAGCTGAACTATGAGAAGCAGCAACAAGTTAATATTATCACAGGCTGTGAGTCATTTTGGAGATTTCAAGATCGCTTCAAGTGACGTCCCTAAACTCAGGGCTAAAGAGATATACTTGAGGTCTCAAAATATAACAAAACTGTGTACATAAAACCACAATCTTTAGGTTTCATATATCAGAAGAGGAGATAAACAATAGTTACCATAATTGTCTGAAAAAAATAGATAGCGTTTATGTAGTTGGCAAGAGTGCAGACGCAGAAGAAAGTGCATGAAGAGGGTGCAGGAGGATATATAGGGTTGTTGTGGGTCTAGAAGATGCTGTCTGAGCTAGGTCTTCAAGCGTTTCTTAAAAACAAGGAATGCCTTTGTTCTGGTAGCACATGGTCATTCCACCTTTGTGGAAAGGAGTCTGGACTGTCTTGAGTGCTGTCTGCACACTGTTAGCCAACAATCCTTTGATGACTGGAGTAGCCAAGTTGTGACTTTGCAAGAAGATTGAAGTAGATGGGAGTTCTTTTCAGGACTTTGTACTTAGAGATCAACCAATATTGGTTTTTCTATTGCCAATACCATTACCGATGTGTAAAGGTCATGGTCGACTGGTTTTAATGGCCGATATATAGATAATTTCTGCTTTATACTAGATTCTAAATGTCACTAACATCAACAGGAGTTTCTGAACCTAAATCAGTTTTTGAACTCTGAATTTAACCAACTGTTGAATCTTAATTTTGTGCATTGCTTAGTATAAAACATTTAACCAAGTTAATCAAACAAATCAGTAAACTGACCGATAAATCAATTTATAAGACAGGAAAATAAAAAGAAAATGCCAGTTGACGATAAAGTTTTAAAGCATTTTAAATTTAGCAGCAGCACTAGGCTGCCAGTGGATGTGCCTGCTTTTAAATTGACTGATGAGGAAGGCTGGTGGCAATACATAAAAACGGTAAATATCCGCGTATCTAATCTGTATGCCAACAGCAGAGATGTTGTAGTCTCCCACATTATGCTTAATTGAGACAGAGATTCAAAAACTTGACAGAAGATGCAGCACAGACTGAGATGCTGCTGTTTGCATTTTTGTGCCATAACCCCAGCTGTCAGTGAAGCACTACTAGTAACCACACAATCACTTCCCACTCCTATGGGGTCAACGATCCAAAAGGAGGTAAACCACCTCATTGTGGATGTGCATAGAGCTGTAAATGGTAAACAACCCAGAAACAAAGACAGCTGGTTGGTGGGCCTCAAGCATCAAAAATAGGTCAGTCACAGGCTGCCAGAACTTGGTCAATGGGATGTGGAGTTTTTTTTTCCAGTGAAGATGATGCTTAAGGAACAGGAATGAGGAGGAACCGAAGAAGATAAATAAACAGGTTTAGGGATCAGCGAGAGGGAAAGAAAACAGGACACGGACAGAAAAACAGAGGACCTGATTTATTTGTGGTCGTCTCAGCATTGTGTACAGATTGAATAGCTGGGTGGAGCTCCAGTGTTTGGTACAATTATTTAACCGAGTGTTGACCCTTCCCGGGAACTCTCTTTTATCTGCAAATGCTTTCCAGAAGCTGGAGCGCCTTCATTTTTCAGCTAAGACCTGCATGGGGAATGACCTTCTCCAGTCACTGTGCTGCTGTGTGTGTGTGCTTTGTTTTTATTAAAATAGATTAAAATAGTTTACCACACAGAGCTGTACGCTGACATTTTGTTGTGCTGCATACCTTTACTCATTAACTCTTTTCATCATAGAACCATTGGAACTCAAATGAGGAAGTATGTTTTTGTACAAAGTACGTTAATGCTGATGAGGAGCAGATGATAAAAGTTAATAATTGTCTCCAGGGATATTTTGACTGCAGTTATTAATACATTCTTGCTCCATGTTGGCCTGGGATCTGCATCACAAACTCCAAGCAAAGCAGCTCATGGTGGATTTGAGTGAAACTCTCACAAAGTTATCGTCAGGCCCCTTGAGAGTTAGAGCAGTTAAAGATTGCAGCTAATCAAGCTTAGCTAACACTAACATGGCTATAATTTACAGATAATGAACCACAGTTTGATAGCTGAAGATCACACACAGTCAGACTCCCAGTGCATGAGATCTTGTGATATTGCTGGAGTTTCACACTTAATTTTATTTTCTAGATTGAACCAAAATAACTATAATTCCATTATTTCCAAGCATGGGATGATTTTAGTGTAAAATTGTTGCTTTAAAGGCAGGAAGCAACATGCATTCCTTCAGTGATCCATTAATTATTTAAAACATTTCTTAAAAGTCTCAACATTTTGTGTTTCTCTCTGATGTTCTTTGATTTCCTGTTCTTTCATCCAACTAACCTTTATTTTCACAAGCCTGTGAATGAATCCAGCGAGCTTTTTAATTCAACCTTCAGGTCAGGAACCTCGGCTGTTTGTGAGCTGATCCTCAACACTATCTGTTAAGAGTCATTTACAAAGCTTTGTTTGGTCAGATGCTGCTTTTATAATAGTTCCATTATTTTAAGCCTTTTTTCCCAGAAATATTTATATGCAAAAGCGTATGAAAATAAACCCAAACACTCCCAATAACATGCAAACACAGTGTTAAGTTCAAAATGGTGACATGAAATCCGAAGGGCAATAGGGACACTTTCATTTAAAGGCGTGGAACCCTGCTCCATGCTGATACAGGCGCTTATGCCTCCCAATTTACATGATCCAAACTGAAGCATGTAATGTACTGGTGTAACTGGGAGGAACAGATGCATTTTGAACAGCAGGAGAGGAAGGGAGGCTGTAATGCAGTGGGACTGATGGGAAAACTGCTAAAGCTTTCACTCTGCTGCTCCAGCATGACGTAGTGCTTCTTGAATTCCTGACTTATTGCTTAAAGATGTCTTCTTGTCATTTCTTTTCCTGTTTTCACGCTCTTAAGGATGAGCAGACAGACTGGGTGCAGCTCAAAGACGCAGCTCCAGCACGATGGAAAACTGTAAAATAAGTTCACGTCTGATTCCACGGCAGGGGAATTTAGCTTAGATGAGGAATGTGGATTCAGGTAAAGAAAAGCAGCAAGGACTAATCAGATGCCACACAAAAAAAATGTGATGTTGAATGGAATCTGTTCCGGCAAAGTTCTTATGCGAGCTGGCGTGGTGAGGACTGCTGTCTGAGCACAAACATTTAACCCCTGTTCCACTTTCGGAAAAGCTACTGACTGTGGAGGAAAATGAGTGGAGAACAGAGAAATTGAGGAAGTGAGACGTAATCTATGAATTGTATATACTCGCTGAGACTATGATTTCATTCGGGGGAAAGCCCACTTGCAACCCCCACCTCTCCTCTTTATCCCTCTTTTAGTCTCTTAGCTTTTCTGTTCTTCACGCGGAAGCAAAACAAACACATGTTGACAAATTCATGAATTCCTGTCATTTTGATATTTTTGAATCTCATTTGTCCCTGTCACCACAGGTGGGGGTGGAAAGCGGAAAGGAAGGAGCAAAAAATGGAAGGAGATCCTCCGGTTTCCCCATATAAGCCAATGTGTTGAACTGGGAAAAACTATCGGTACGTATTTGTGAGCTCCACCTGAAGAGGCTGCATTTGTCTGGTGTGTCTGAATGATGCGGGTTAAAGGATTTGATTTTCGCCCCCACAGAGAGGGATTATGCCAGCATCTGTGAGAAACAGCCTATTGGACGGCTTCTTTTTCGTCAGTACTGTGAGATCAAACCCAACTTGCAACGATGCATCCAACTACTGGACGCAATGGTACGCACGCGCGCGCACACACACACACACACACACACACACACACACACACACACAACTTGAATTAGCCTGCTTTTAGAAGAAGCATGTAGCATTCATAGCTCCCTCCATTTAAATGAATTATTAATACTCTAAATGAGTTTATATTGCAGCATTATATGGATTCTTGGAAAAATGCAGGGAGACACATTAAACTAAGATGATAAATGATCATAAATCTGTGATGTCATGCTGCTTCGTGGAATTTGTATGGACTTTAGACAGTGTTGTCAACTGTTTCTAATTTTAAAGGTGTAGTTCAGATCGCCTGAGTTTTAATTAAAATGAGTAATTGAAAACACTCCTTGAAAAACATTTGTAGAATTAGTGGTTAGTTGAGATTACACATATGAGGGTCAGTAACAAAGAGTATCACCATTGTCTTAAAAAAACTCTAATCTCAAAAATGTCTTTGTGTCATGGTCTGCGTCTCCCTCATGTGTCTCCTTGTGTTGTCCAACCCCCTCTAGGATCCCCTTATGTGTCTCCTTGTGTTTCTCATGTGTCCCCTTGTCTGCAGCCCCTCCAGGTCCCCCCCCCCCCCCTCGGTATCCGCCCCCCCAGGTCCTGTGCTCCTGTTGGTGTCCCTTAGTCACCCCTCTGTAGTTTTTCTATAGGTTCAGCTTTTCATTTAATTAGTCTCTTTTAGTGTGTTTCTTTCCCCACCGTTTTTTTTAGTTCTCTTCCCTCCTTAGATCATTAGTTATTTATCTTGCTCTTCTTGTCTTTAGGTTTTGTTTTTATTCTTGGGTCATGTTATTTTCCCCTCCTCAGCTCACTTTCCTGTCCCTGATTAGTTAATTGATTTCACTAGGTTTCTCTCCTCACGCACCTGCAGCTCATCTCCCACTCATCCTGCCCCAGTGTATTTAACCCTGTCTGCGTCTCAGTGTGGTGTTGGTTCACTGTTTTGTGTCAGTGTTGGTTTGTCGTCCGTCCATGCTGTCAATTTCACATCATTAGTAAATGGTAGAGACAGCAGTAGCTCAGGAGGTAGAGCTTGTTGTCCAGTAATTGGAAGGTTGCAGGTTTGATCCCAGCTCTGACCAGTGAATGCTGCTGTTGTGTCCTTGGGCAAGACACTTAACCTGCCTTGCCTGCTGGTGGTGGTCGGAAGGACTGGTGGCACCTGTGTATGGCAGACCTCGCCTCTTTCAGTGCGCCCCAGGGCAGCTGTGATTATTGTGGCTCATCCTCACAGAGTGTGAATGGGTGGATGACTGATTGTGTTGTGAAGGGCCTTGGGGGGTTGTAGAACCCAAGGTGCTACACAAATACAAGCCATTTACCATTTACATCATTCTTTCCAAATCTGCATTTTTAAGTTGTGATGTCCTTCATTTGAGATGAATTGTGTTGGAATTATTTGGATTTATTTGACGTTGAACTTGTCTTGGACTTGATTGCTTTGTTGCATGGTGCCCTGAGATTTGTTTGTTTTGTACTGGTTAGGGTTAGGGGATGTCTATGTCTAAACACACACCCAAACTGCTGCTTCTCGTTCCAATTACACTGTAATCTATAGCAGTTTGTGTGTCTAGACTTAAATACCTCCCACATGACACATTTAAGTCTTTATCTGTCAATGCCCGGAATATCTTTGTGGACATGTGACAGGACAGAAAGGGCAGCATTATCGTTTCCCAATCCCAACAGACTTTCCTCCGTTCACCTCTGTGAGAAGGAAACCACTTAGACGAAGCTAATTCTTCAGTCCGTCCATGTGACGAGCTCGCTGCTGAGCATTATACACAACAGGTCTGAGTGTGATTACAGCTGAGCAGATGCTTGTTTTTCGAGTGATTGGATAACACTCTGTGAACCCTGTGATGTTGTGAGGTTTGTTCGACAGATTATATAATCTAGACATTGTGGCTTTGGGAAAATGTGTAAGCTATTTAGCAAAAAATAAAAATAATACAAAATCCTGGCAGGTGTGTACAAGAAAGCAGGAGGTCATGTTTGATTTAATATGTGTGGACCTGAGGAAGAACTGCACCAAGAGGAATCCTACGTCACAATAGGGTGTAGGTGTACAATTTGTGTTGAAGCCCTTTTGCTTTCAAAAGGTCAAAGGCGAGTCTTCTTTCCCCTTTGGCTGACCCCCCACCAGCTGAGGGTGGGATTCAGACAGCTCGTTTACTCTATGTGAGCGCGTGATAATGTGTTTGTGAGAGCATTTTGTGTACGTGTGTTTGATGTCACTGGAGCCTCTGAACACAAATGCTCAGTTGGTTAACACTTGACATCAGTCACACGTTCTCCACCTTCTGAAATGTAATTTGTACACTAAATATATTTGTTGCTGTTTTTGTTATTGAAGAGTCAGTGACTCTATAAAGCCATTTTTAATCTAAGCTCCAGGCTTATGTCTGCATGCATACGTGTGTGTGTGTGTGTGTGTGTGTGTGTGTGTGTGTGTGTGTGTGTGTGTGTGTGTGTGTGTGTGTGTGTGTTTTATTGTGGTGACGCTGGTGTGACACACTGTGACCCTCCAGGATCTCAAGGAATCCCACCGTGTTTACTGTGCGGTTGTCAGGCAACGCAGCACCATGCTGGAAAAATACCCACAACCCATCTGCACAGGCGCCCCTCACCCCCTCCCCTCGAGAAGGCCACAAAACACGTCAGAGGGCTTTTCATGTTGATGCCTTTGCAGAATGTGTGTAACAGTTCAACCCATTTATGTCAGCAGCCACATATGCTCAACAGCCAGCAGCCAGCAGCACATGTTAATGGGAGAGTGACAGCAACACCGAGATGCAGAGTGACAGGGGTGTGTGTGTGTGTGTGTGTGTGTGTGTGTGTGTGTGTGTGTGTGTGTGTGTGTTGTAAAATACATTATGTGGTTTATGAGACGTTTCACTAACGGGGTCTGCAGCCTGCCGCTCTGGAGCAACAATGGCTCTTAATTACTTTGGATAAAAATGATAAGAAACCAGCGTATGTTCTTAAATATAAATATAAGTTTATAAAAACAGGTTTAAACAGCTTTTCAGTTTTATCATGAAATAATTGCATTGAATTTTTATCTCAGAAAGACACAAAAAGTGTCAGTCATTTTTATATCTATTTATAGGGTTTTTTCCAACAATTTCTACAACTATCAACATCCCATTGAAAAAACATCCATATTCTTAATTTTTTCCCCCAGATATTTAAAACTGAATAGTAAAAATTGTGTTTTTTAAAAGATGACAAAAATCTTATCTTCTCATCTCATATCTTTTTCCGCCTATCCGGGTCTGGGTTGTTGGGGCAGCATCCCAACTAGGAATTTCCAGACCATCCTCTCCCCGGCCACCTCCACCAGCTCCTCCGGCAGGACCCCAAGGCGTTCCTGGGCCAGTTCGGAGATATACTTTCTCCAACGTGTCCTGGGTTAACCAGAGGGCCTTCTGCCAGCAGGACTTGCCTGAAACACTTCCCTGGGGAGGCGTCCAGGAGGCATCCTAACAAGATGCCCAAACCACCTAAACTGACTTCTCTTGATATGGAGGAGCAGCGGCTCTGCTCCGAGTCTCTCCCGAATGTCCAAGCTCCTCACCCTATCCCTGAGGGTGAGCCAGCCACCCCGTGGAGAAAACTCATATCGGCCGCTTGTATCCGCGATATTGTTCTTTTGGTCATTACCCAAAGCTCATGACCATAGGTGAGGACTGGGCGGTAGATGGACTGGTGAATCGAGAGCCTTGCTTTCCGGCTCAGCTCCTTCTTCACCACAACAGACCAGTTCATCATCGGCATAACTGCAGACACTGCCCCAATCCGCCTGTCGATCTCCTGCTCCCTCCTTCCCTCACTCGGGAACAAGACCCTGAGATACTTCAACTTCTCCACCTCAGTCAGGACCTCTCTCTCGACCCGGAGTTGGTAAGCCGCTCTTTTCCGGTCGAGAGCCATGGTCTCAAACTTGGAAGTGCTGATCCTCATCTTTAGATTTATTTTTGGAAGATTGAGAAAAAAAGGATTTGACTTTAATGTCATAGTTCTGGCTTTTCTTCCTGAAATCTGAGAAAACAAGAACTTTTTTTCAGTGACCCTAATCTTCATATGTTGATATATTGTCTCTTTTTAAAGGGTCTTGCAACAGCTGCAGCTCTAAACACGTTTTATTTAGGAGGACTGGTGAAATGGTTGCTTGGATTGTAAAGGTTGCAGACCCTGCTCTGGACAAATGAACTGACTAAGAAAATGACAGAAAGGACTATTAATGTTTTAAACCGGCTGTGACAGAACTAGTAAATGATTAAACGAGTCATAATTATGAATTGTGCCTTCCAAGAAAGTGACAATGTACCCGGATCAGCTGCCCTACGAGTAGAGAATAAATTGATGACAAGTGTAAAACAGATTATGCTCATTTTGTAATTGCTTATGACTTATTTATGCTGATCTTTAGGAAGACTATGAGGTGACACCTGATGAAAAAAGGAAAAGTCGAGGAGAGCAGATCATCAAGACATTTCTCTCAAAGCAAGTATGTTTCTTTATCTCTAAACGTTCTTTCTTTCTAGCATTCTTCAATAAAAGTGAAATTAGGAAACGTTTATTGGGACTAAAATGACACATTTGATATTAAAAAGATACGTTCTTAGCAAACTATTTTGGGTTAAAGCTTAAAATTCTCTCAGGAGTGTTTTGATTTGATGCACTTAAAGCAGTGCATACATTAGAAGTGATAATGTTGTGTGTGTGTGCTAAACACTTGTGACTGTGTGTGTTTACATGTGCTGATGTAGTCGCCTCAGCGGGTAGACATAGCAGAGGTTTTTGCAGAGCGATGCAGGGAGAACCTTGAGCTCAGTCCTTGTAAGGAGATCTTCAGCGAATGTCGCAAGTGAGTCGTCATTCCTTCTGCTTTTCTCCTCAAACTTGTTTTTGTATTTTTACTTCCGAGCACCAATTTTCTTTAAAACTGATTTTCAGCTGAATATATATATTTTTGTTGTTCCTGCTTTGACCAGGGCTGCCCATGAGTACCTGAGTGGAGCTCCGTTTGCAGACTATCAAAACAGCATGTACTTTGACCGCTTCCTGCAGTGGAAGATGCTGGAAAGGTTTGTTTGTTTTCGTTTGTCTGAATCCATTTTATGGCTTTAGGGACTAAAATGCTGAGGGCTAGCAAACGCATAATTATTCAATTACAAATATTCCATAATCAAAGAATTAACCAGAGAACCACCTCTTAATGGTTGAGGAAATATGTAAAGCCAAATCCATTTAGGGAAAGAGGTTGCTTTAAATTATTTCATTTTATTATTGAATCGTAGCTAGGTCCTCAGTTTAGACAGAGGAGGATTTTAACATCGTGAACTGGCAAATTAAAGGAAATTGTTTACTTTTTCAGTTACTATTATAATAAATACACATTTTAAGGTACAGTGAGTACATTTAAACGATCACAAAACAGTTTAGTGTTTCAACCATGTTGCATGGAAGGTTACACTGAAACACATTTCCTTCTCAGCCGGCTGGGGAGGGGTTGCCAATTTGTTTGTTATTTCTTTTAAAAAGGCCAAAGAGGGATGTAGTCTTTGTTTACAGTCTGTCCCTCCTCCATACTTCCTGGTTCCAGAGCCTTTCATGTCTGAGACCACTTTGCTGGCAATTACTGCAGTGCTCCCAATTTATTTTTTGACATTGGCTAACAAAAAACAGCAGCGTTGAGGACAGTAGGCAGCAAAAGGAGCTGTCCATGGCTTTGTTTTTATCTAATATCGGGTAAAGAAGGCTGCACCAGTTACCAAAAACTCAATATCACAGTGCTATTTATCTGCTTATCAACTTACACGTCTTTAATTGTCATCTAGAATCTTCTGGCGCTGATCCGTAACTGGTTGCACAGATCAGACTTGTTGGTTTTGATACTTGGACTGCAGTTCCCAAATTTGACCACAGGATGTCATTCTTACACCTTTAAGATTGAGTTTATTGATGTTCATGTTATGTATTTTTTAAAGTTTAGAATAATCAATGCTCTACACACCAGTGAGAACAACCTGTACCCTTAAACCTCACTCACTTAGCCATTTTCACTTGTTACAACATCACTTACTTTAAGCTTTCAAAACAGAACAAATTGAGCTTAAAAATGACTTGCTCTGTATCCTTAATGCAGAACACATATCAGAGTCAGTGTGAAGAAAGCAGCAGGCTTTCAGTGCAGCTTGATCGTATCCGTGTCTGGAAAGTGAAATTGCACACAAGAGGCCCAACCCTCTGCACAGGAAACAGACTCGGGATAATATTGAGTTCTGCAGATGATATTTCTGTCTTAATCAATATGACATAAGCATCTATTAATGGATTTCACTGTGTCTGTGTTCTGTCAGGCAACCAATCACTAAAGACACATTCAGACAATATCGAGTGCTGGGGAAGGGGGGGTTCGGAGAGGTAAGAGATGCTGCTGTGACACTGTTCTAAATCGTTGTGTTTTAGTTACATTGTTTGTTTTTTTGATTGTTGTTATTTTTGCAGGTGTGCGCATGCCAGGTGAGAGCAACAGGGAAGATGTACGCCTGCAAGAAACTGGAGAAAAAGAGAATCAAGAAGAGAAAAGGAGAGTCCATGGCTCTCAATGAGAAACAGATTTTGGAGAAAGTCAACAGTAGATTTGTTGTGAGTAAATCCAAATTAGACTATTCCCTGTTTTGAGTCTTTTAAAGCATGCTTATCCCACGGAGCATGCTCTCCCACTCCTGCAGGTGAGTTTAGCATATGCGTACGAGACCAAAGACGCTCTGTGTTTGGTGCTGACCATCATGAATGGCGGAGACCTGAAGTTTCACATCTACAACATGGGAACGCCGGGCTTTGAGAAGGACAGGGTCCAGTTCTACGCTGCTCAGATCTGCTGTGGACTTGAGCATTTGCACAGGGAATCGATCGTCTATAGGTAGAATTCTCACAAGCATTTTAACGTCTATTTCCGCTGCTTTTCCAGTTTGTGTGTGAACTGATGAAGCTGGTTTTTGACTTTTGTAGAGATTTAAAACCAGAGAACATCCTTTTAGATGACAATGGTAAGTTTCAAAACAGATACCTTGGCCTAACATTTTAGAAACATTTGTGCAAAAACACAGAGAGGCTTGCACAGACAAAACTTGAAATGTGCACACAATCAGCTGATGAGCTTTTATTTCGCTGCAGGACACATTCGTATTTCTGACCTGGGGCTGGCCATCAAAGTGCCTGATGGAGAGAACATTAGGGGCAGGGTGGGGACGGTAGGCTACATGGGTAAGAAATACAAGTCACCATGTCCAAATATTTGTTTGTATGCTCTGAAACCAAAATGTTCTGTTGTCCTTTGTCTTCAGCGCCAGAGGTAATCAATAATGAGAAGTATGCTATGAGTCCTGACTGGTGGGGACTGGGCTGCCTCGTTTACGAGATGACTGCCGGAAGATTGCCCTTCCGTGCCCGCAAGGAAAGAGTGAAGCGTGAGGAGGTGGAGAGGAGGGTACAGGAGGAAGAGGAGGAGTACAACGACAAGTTTACAGAGGACGCTAAGGCAATCTGTAGAATGGTGAGGCTCAGCAGCAAACTGTTTGTAAAGACAGAGCAGTTTGAGTGATGAATAACCAAATGATTCATCTCTGCTTCTGCTCGGTCAGCTGCTCACCAAAGACCCTAAGCAGAGGCTGGGGTGCAATGTGGACAGAGCAGTAGGCGTCAAGGCCCACTCGTTCTTTAAAAACATCAACTTCAAGAGGATGGAGGCTGGAATAGTGGAGCCTCCCTTTGTGCCTGATGTGAGTGGTTGATGCTCTACGAGTTTAAATCAATGCTGTCACAACCACAAAACTTTAAACTGCTGAAACTAATGTTTTAAAAATCCCGATTAGACCAAAAGGACTAAAGTGTCTTTTTAGAAACATTTACCTAATTTTTCACCCAACCCTCTTTCTTTTTCCATGGCCGTTGCTCTCTCTCAGCCTCGGGCAGTGTACTGTAAGGATGTTTTGGACATAGAGCAGTTCTCCACCGTCAAGGGAGTAAATTTGGACCAAACTGACAATGACTTCTACTCCAAATTTGCTACAGGCAGTGTTTCCATCCCATGGCAGAATGAGGTGAGTGAACATCATAGGATTTTAAAAAACTGATCATTAGCCTTATGGACAGATAATTTGGCTTTCTCTTTTTTCCCCTCTCTTTTTTATGTGTTCTTTTCCCCTCTAGATGATAGAAACTGAGTGTTTCAGAGACTTGAACGTCTTTGGGCCACAAGGGACAAGACCTCCAGATTTAGACTGTAATCAGCCACCGGAGCCACCCAGACGTAGCCTGCTGGACAGGATTTTCAGGAGGCATGTGAGTGAACAACACAGCCGTGCTCGCTAAATTCAGGCGCGTTCGTTCAAATTAACCAACACAGGTCTTTTCTGTCTGTCTCCCTTCATTTGCTGCAGCACCCAGAGGTGTCTATTTCCAACAGCCGTGTGCAGTCTTCCAGTGTAAATTCTGTGGACTCTATGTCCAACTCTGCCCCCTAGTGGCTTAATGACAATATGGGAGTTTCACACACACACACACACACACACACACACACACACACACACACACACACACACACACACACACACACACACACACACACACACACACACACACACACACACAAAGAAAAGGAGCTCGGAAGGGCTTTCCTGTTGCTGATTGGTCCACCGCTGGGGCCTGAGCAGCAGTTGGAGACAACATGTCTAAAGCCTGAACGGTCAGCCCATGGGATGGGATGGGAAGGGGGGGGGGCTGGGGAATTTGCAGTAAGATGGTTGATGTTCCAGAGACATTTGGAAAATTTCAGACCAAACTTACGTGCCCTCAGGATTGTTGGACTACAGAACAGAGCAATGACGTTGTCGAAAACAGAATAAAGGGAAACAACTAAGCTAATATTCAGGGGATCGACTGTAAAATAAAGACCACCACAGGGAACTGAAGTTGGGGAGGGTCTTGGTGAATTATTTTTTTCCAGGAAAAAAAGAGACAATTCTTTTTTTCTATCATTTTTAGCCTTGTACTTTCTGGCCTGTATCTTGTACCAATATCTCCCTCATCTACCTACTTCCCATATGTGTCACCATCATTTGCACAATGCTTTCTCTTAACTTATTCTTTCTCTGGATCTCCTCTTCTGTACCTCAGATCACTCCTGAACATTCAGAACACGTCACCTCAGCAAACCTCAGCTCACGATGTACATTGCCTTGCATACACTCAGGCCAAAGATTGAATTTATTATTTTTGTTTGTAATACTGTTGTCAAATTGAATTGTTGGGGTTTTTGAAGGTTTTTAAGCCGTTGTGTAGAAACACATGAGGATCAGAATGATTCCTTTTTAAAAAAAATAAACTTCCTTTCGATATGAGCCTGCAGACATATCACGCAGCTTAAAGCACACACACACACACACACACACACACACACACACACACACACACACACACACACACACACACACACACACACACACACACACACACACACACATGCATCCAGCACATTACACACTGAGATAGGCATACACTTTCAGAATTGTGAGAATTGTGTTGTGTTTTCAATGCATGGATGTGTAAGTATGGACAGCTGTATCCCTTTTTTTTTGCTTCTTCATACCTCATTCCACTGACGTTGCCATCTTATACACATAGACGTCTCCCTTGGTTTACAGTGTCACTTTATATTTGGCATCATGTGGAGTTTGAAAAGGAATTAATATGCTGTACAGAAACAAATCCTTTTTTTTTGCTAGTTGTCTGCACAGTCCCCATGAAGTGGAGAGGAACACATGCACTCAGCATGACTTACAAGTTGCACAATTCAAA